TCCTGGGGCATATGCCGACGTGCTATCAGCAGTATCACCCGCACCAGGCTGCTGCTGAGTTGTGGTGATGCAGAGGAAAATCCCGGCCCTTCATTGCGAGGAATGCAGTGGAACTCAGCTGGACTTGCCCAGGCCAAGAGGCTTGCTCTCCACAAAACCTTTGTTGAGGAGAATGTGACATTCTGCCTTCTAAGCGAGAGGAAACTATCTTGTGCGGAAGTGTCGTGTTTCACAATCGCTGGTTACCAACATCATGGAGCACCCCGCCCCTCTAAAGGAGGCGGTGTTTCGATTCTTGTGCGTGAAGATCTGCCAGTGGAAGTAGGACTCACCGTAGTTGCAAGCATTGAGCATGCCCATGCAACGATCCACATGTCAGAAGGTCTGGTGCTCACAGAGATGTCAGCATACTTCCCTCCGGGGAGAACATACACAACTTCGCAACTAGACACGCTTTTAATGACAAGCGGACCTCACCCCAATGGTGCAGATGCTAATGCGCATGCAATGGCATGGGATCGCGCGATCCCCCCTGATACCCGTGGCGATGTGATAGTACAATGGTGCCTAGATAATGACCACGTTATTCACAACACTGGAGATTGCACTCGCCCACACCACACGCCATGGCCCGTCCGCGCAAGATGTGACAATATCCCGAGATTGCCGTCTAGAGTACTGGACGGCATCCTTCTCCCCGGACAGCGACCATTACACCATCCTCTTCGACGTAGCAGTAGGAGATGATGATGAACCACTGCGGTTCCCTCGCCCTCGTTCCCCCATTTATGCATGGAAGAAAGCGAAATGGTCTCGCTTCAGACAAATGCCAAACGCACAGTGCAGTAAACGTCTTAAAGAGAAAATGAGCGTTCACAAGAGAGAACGCCTACTGACCTCCGCCATCCGTATCGCAACAGCCGCGGATGTTCCACGCGGGGGTCGAGACACCACTCCTTTTTGGACTCCCGAGTTAGAGGAAATCGAAGGGAAGATTCACAATTGTAAACCTTCTGTCTCTCAAGACAGACTGGGAGCTCGCAGGAGAGAAATGCTACGACAAGCATCCCATAAGAGATGGAAAACCCTCTGTAATAACATGGCCGTGGCAGACGGCTGCTGTTG